GGCTCTTCCCAGCCTGTGTCTGAGGGGAACGTGTCCCAGGGTGCCCAATGATCTGCCTCCCCTTGGACACAGGGCCATCAGCTCCCTGCTCCTGTGGGCTCTCTCCTGGCTGGGTGGTTGGGATGCAGCAAGCTGGGATGGAGTTCTGGAATCCCCAGGGAGAGGAGGGAGCAACGCAGGTTTAAAGAGGAGCAATCCCTGGGACGTGACTTGGATTCCCCCCTCCCCCAACACACACACACCTCTGTTCTCTGCTTTTCTCCCTCCCTGTTCTGCTCCTGGCAAGTTGCTCTGGCAGTGCTGGGATGCCTGGGATGCTCCCAGCCCATGGAGAGGAGCAGCAGCGTGGCTTCCCGGTGTGGCTGTGGGGCCGCCCCTGCCTGTGCCAACCCCCAAGACCCGCTGGCTGGTGGTGCCTGAGGTGCCCCACTGAAGGACCACCCAGCCTCCTCCACCTCTCCCCGTGGGAGGGGAGGGTGGGTGTGTTCTTTGGTGTTTTGTGTCCCTCGGGCTCCAGGCGGGTTGCCAAGGTGAGGGAAGGAGGGAGCAGGCGGGGCTGGGAGTGGGACCTGCAGCTGGCAAAGGGGTGTTCTCCCCGTCTCAGGTTGTTGGTTTTTTGGAGGAGTGGGCAGCAGGAATGCTGCTGGGCAGCCCCTGCAGGCCTGTAGCTGCCTGGAGGAGGGAGCCACAGCACCCAGACATCCCAGTGGGAGGGGAGAAGGCCCTGGGTGTGTGTGGTGGCTGCTGCTGTGGCCAGGAGGAAGCTGTGCTTCCCTTGCAGCTGCCTGCTCCACGCTGAGCACGTGGGGACAGGAGGAACTTGAAGCAGCTTCTCTGCAATGAGCTTCCCAGTTTGCCCACAGTGGGGTTCCCCATTGCCAGGTCTCCACAGTGTTCATCCTGCCCTTTGAGCACAGCATGGCTGTGTTCAGGTGGCTCTGTGACCCAGAAGGACCTTCCTCTTTCTGGGATTTTTTGTGCTCTCCAGAGCTGCTGTCGCCCTCCGTGGTGGGGAAGAGCTCAGCCCTGTCTAGTAAGGACTGTGGTGGCTTAGAAATGAGGTGGCAGGTCATGGTGCCCTAAATGTGGGGTACCAAGAGCAGGGAAATGGCCAGGAATGCTGTCTTTGTTTTGCCAGGAATGCTGTCTCGCCAGAGCCTCCACCTGAGTGGAGAGCAGGGATGGAGTAGAGCTCCTGAGAGCCCTGGCTGGTCAAGTGGGCCACTCAGGCAGTGGTTGGACCTTCACTCCAGCAGGCTCTTGGCCCTGACCTCCCTCTGGCTCTCAGCCCAGCTGTCCCCGTGGCACCTTTGCCAGCCTTGCTGGCAGCATCCTGCCCAAGGGCAGCAGGAGGAGGGCACAGGAGCAGGTAGGGAGCAGCACAGGGTGTATCTGTGTCCTGGCACATCTTCTCTCCCCTCTGTGCTCTCTGGCAGTGCCAGCACGGACCCAGGGAGGTCCCTACAGCTGGGTCCTGCTCCTGCTCCCCGGCTGTTCGTCTGAACCCCTCCCTCCACAACCCATGTCCTAAAAACAGCGACCAGGCGTAGCTCTGCTGTCCCTGGGGGTCTCTCCGGGGTGGGCGATGCTAGGGGTGGGGGAGGAAGGGAAGGCGTGAGCGGTTTCCCCGCCTCTCAGCATCTCGAGTGGGCGGGCGGGCTGGGGCGGGGAGATGGGCTCACCCCCTTCCACCCCCTGCCCGCCGGGATTCACCCCGGCAGGGGGGCAGCCAGGAGGGGAGGGATCCGTCGGGGAGGAGCGCCTCGCCCCCCGCCCTGCCCACGCGTGTGTCCCGGGGGAGCGGGGGCAGCGCGACCCCCGCCGCCTCCCGCTCTTTGTCTGCGCCGCGCCCCTGCGCCCCCGCTCCCCTTTGTTGGCCGCCGAGCGCTCGGAGGGGCTCGGTGTGTCCCCCCCCGCCTTCCCCTTGCCGGGGTCGAGCCGAGGGGCGGAGGGAGGGGAGGAGGGAAGGGGGAGGACACGGGCGGGGAAGCTCCGGGGCGCGGGGCGGGCGCTCCGGGTCCGCTCCGTTGTCTCGATGCTGCGCGGCCCCTTCCCCGTGCGTGGGGCGGGCGGAGACCGCCGGGATTAGGGGATCCATCCCCTCATCCACCCACCCATTCACCCAGCCGCCCGCCCAGGCAGCTCCCATCGCTCTCCCCCAGCGCCGCTCCATGCCGGGCTCCAGGCGGGGCCGGGATCTCTCCGGGAAGGGCTGGCATGTCCCAGCGGCGTGAGGCACCGAGCCGGCCCCCTCCGGGGAGGGTGCCCGTGCCGAGGGGGCCGAGGAGGGCTGTGGCCCCTCGCTGCTCGCCGGAGGGTTGGGAAGGTGCCGGGGAGCCGGCGGAGGAGGGACGGCTGGGCGGGAGGAGCGGAGCGGAGCGGAGCGGGGATGGATGTGCCGCGGCTGTGAGAGGAGCGCTGGCGTGGGAAAGGGAGCGTCTGCCTTCGGCCGGAGCGTGGGACAACTGAGCGGCACCTTTCGGGCTTCTGCTCCCGGGATCTTGGGCTGCTGCTCCCGGAATTTTTTGGCCGCGAGGACCTGCGGAGGGTCGGAGGCTGCTGAAGGTGGGAGCGCCTGTCCCGGAGGAGAGCGCGGACAGCGGGGGAAGATCCGTGTTTCTGGAGCGAGGATCTGAGAGCTGAGAGGCGGCTGCCGGCGTGGTCAGACCCCCTCCCATCCCTGCCGAGAGGATGTGGATTTTCCAGATGCTGCGAGCCTGAGGAGAGGGGTCCCGTGCTGACACCTTGTCCCAGCCCTGCTCCCGGGAGCCAGCGCCTGTTGGTGCCGTTCCCACACCAGCAGCAGCAGCAGCAGCTCGTCCCCGTCCCGGTGGGCTTGGCCGTGGAACTTGAGCTCTCTCAGCGCCGGGATTGTTGTTTGCTTTCTGCAGGCAGGTGTGGATTGACACCTTCCGGGCTGGCAGAGGGATTTGCTGAGCACGGGAGCGGTGCACATCCCTCTGGAGCGGGCTCGGACCTCACCCCAGGCTGTGCCTCTGGGATATGGCACCTGTGGGGACAAACTCCTGCCCCTGAAGGTGTCCCCCCACCCAGCCCACCCTGCCCTCCTGCGAGCCGAGATGGGAACCTGTGGGAAAACTTAGGTTTTCCCGAAGACGCCTGGGGAGGGGAGGGAAGGGAAGAGGAATCCATGTGAGCCTTGTGGCTGCTGTTCTCGTGGATGGATGGACGGTGGGCTGAGCGTGGTGGCCCAGCATGACAGCCTGCCAGTACCCCATGGCGCCGGGGGCCCTGGAGCGGGACCGGCTGTACCAGCACAAGGTCTCCTTGGTGGTGCGGTACTTCATGATCCCCTGCAACATCTGCCTCATCCTCCTGGCCACCTCCACGCTGGGATTTGCCGTGCTGCTCTTCCTCAATAACTGTAGGTGTCCCCGGGTGCGTGGGAGGCCGGGGAGGGACAGGCAGGGCTCGGGTCAGCCGGGGCTCCCAACATGGCTTTATCGCTCTCCTGCTGCCGCCCAGGGAGGATCCAGGGAGGTGACAGCTCCACAGCTCTGCCCCACTTTTCCCTGCCGTGATGCTGGCCCGGAACGGTGGAGCGGAGCTGTGAGGGAGGGAGGGAGGGCGTGGGCCAGCCCAGCTCCCACCCTGCACGGCGCTCTCAGCTGTGCCAGCACCCTCGGTGTGCCCTGTCCCATCCCCAAAATGCCGTGTCCTGACGTGCTGCTTGAGGTCTGACAGTGGGGGATGCTCTGGGGGGGATGCAGCCAGCCTCTGTGTGTGAGGTGGGGATCTCTTGGCAGGGCTGGTGAGAGGTGAGGGGGGCAAAGGTGGGCTCCTGGGTGTCCTGCCCTGGCCAAGGACTGCTGCTCCATCGTTCCAAGCTGGACCTGGGAGCCCTGTCTCTATATAGAGGTGGGAATGTGTCTCCCAGGCTCCCTGCTCTCTTGCTCTGAGGAATCAACGGAGGGTTTGGGGCAAGATGGGGCAGTTTTGCCTGAGGTTGGATTGGTAATCTGATCGCTGCTGTGGCTGAGTAGATCCCACATTTGGGCGTGGATCCATCCACGTTTTCTGCTGTGCTCTGTTACCTCATCCTTGCACAGGTGCTCGTTTTTCCCTAGGCACAGCCTGTGGAGGAGTATTCCATCATGCAGCGGTGTCTTTGACCTGCTTGATGCTGGAAAGTGCCAAACACCTGCTGTGAGAAAAGCCTTTAGAGGGCAGGCAAATCCTCCAGCCTGGCTCTGGGATGCGCTGCTTCCCCTGGAGGGGAGTGTTGTTTGGGGGAAAGCTGTGTGAAGCTGTAAAAACACATGGATGATTGGAAAAAGACTGGCAGGTGACAGAGCGTGAGAGCAGTGCCACCTCTGCCACAGCCTGCCTTTGCTGCCCTGTGCACATCTCTAGGAGAGAGCAGAGCCCAGCTGGACGCTGGGTTTAGGGTGTTCCCCACCCAGGACAGGAGGGTCTGTGGAGCTCTGAGCGGAATCTTTGTCACCCCCCTGCCCAGACGTAGAGGGCTGGCAGGTGGTGAGGCTGTGCCACCTTCCTCTGGGACCTACAGTGGTGCCCATGGGAGTGTTCACCTTCTGCTGCCCCAGGCTACCCCTTTCCCCTACTTTTTGGAGTTCCCCAGAGCTGCTCAGCCCACCTGAGCTGGTCAATCCATGCCTGGGTGTGCGTGAGGGGAGGCACAGCAGGGTTGGCATCACAGCCCCCGTGAGGTGGCACAGGACAGGCTGAGACCAGCCCCAGCCCTGCCAGGCACGGAGGGCTGCTCCCAGATCCCATGCCAGAGATGCTCCATCGATACCAGTGGGAGAGCTGGAGCTCCTGGATCCCGTTCCTGCTGCTCCCTTCTCGCTGCGAGACCTCCCGGGGTGTTCCTGGGAGCCGGACCCGTTCGTGAAGGGCACGTGGAAGGGGTGAAATGCTGGTCCAAAAGCTGTGGACAGAGGTCTGGGGGGAGGAGGAGGAGCAGGGAGCATCCCAAGGGACCTGCTGACAGCCCCCTGTTTTCTGTTTCTTTGCAGACAAGCCCAACAGTTACTTCACTCAGACGCCGCCGACGCCGCGAGATGGTGAGTACAACTCACTGCTGGAGCCCAGCCCTGGCGTTGGGATGCACTTGAGAGCAGGTTGAGCCTCTCCTGCCTCCTGCAGCTGCTGGGGGAGCAGTGTCTCCTGACCCACTGATCTATTTTTGCAGCTGCCTGGCTTGCTCTCTGTGCCCAGAGCTGTCCTGCATCACGGCTGTGGGATCATCCCTCTGGGATGAGGAGAGGGCAGAGTGATGTCCCTCGTTGCTCCACGGAAGCACAGCAACCCTTTTCCTACAGAGGGTTTCCTGGCTGGCTGTGGTGGAGGTGGGGAAGGGCTGGGAAGGGTCCTTCCCTGGCAGAGCAGGTGGGACAGCACCTGGGTTTCCTGTGGACTTGCATTTTTCCCTGGACTGGTGAGCCTTGCCCGTGAATTGCCTCTCCCCTGTGGATCCATCAGCAGTGTTCTCACCAGCACCTCACATTGTTGCTCAGGGCTTGCTAAAACCCTCTGATTTCACACAGACCTGGAGGAACCTTGTTTTGTTGTTTGGTTTGTTTTTTTTTTTTTTTTGAGGCCAGGCTGTTATCAGTCCGTGGCTTTAAAGGCTGCTGGATGCAGGCAGGCAAGCCCAGGCTAAGATAATGTCATCACAGGAGCTTTGTTTTCTCAGAAAACCAGGCTTAAAATGCCCTGCCTTTCCTGGCAGGCTCTTGAGCCACCTTCCCCAGCCTCTCCAGCTTCACGTGCAGAGATAAGAACCCAGCAGAAAAAAAAAAAACGAACCAGCAGCCAATTAATAACCTGTTTGTTTCTTTTTCTTGCCTTTCTCTGGTGGGGGTGGGGAAGGAGGCGGGGGAGAAACGGATGCGAGATAAAATGTGATTAATCTATAATTGGACCAGAGGAGACATCTAAAGCCAAAATAAAAACTCACGTAGGTGTAACTCCTAGCTCAGGGCTCCAAAATATTAACAGCCCAGCCCATCCAGATGACATACTCCAGAAGATCCCTGGTCCCCCCACAGGAGATGGAAAACTACCACCCTTGGGAGGCTGCCAACCTCCGTTGGGAGTCTCATAGGGTGTAAATGCCTCTGTGTGGGCTTTGGGAGGTGTTTTTGGGCACGGGGGGGGGCATGGGAGGAGGGTCCCTCTTGGGGTGAAGGGGACAGAAGAACTGTCTGTCCTGGCAAAGTCAGAGCTCAGGTTTTTGGGTGAAGGAAGTGGCTCTCTACACCTGGGGCATCTCTTCTGTCAAGTCCCTGTCTCTGTCCTGGTGCTGCAGTGGTGCTGGAGGTGACAGACTTTGCCAGCCAGCAGGGAGGTGTCTCTGATTAGCATTAGCTGTGTCAGGGGAGGTTTAGGTTGGATATTAGGATTAGGTTCTTCACCCCAGGCGCTGGAACAGGCTCCTCAGGGCAGTGATCACTGCCCCAGGGCTGCCAGAGCTCAAGGAGTGTTTGGAGAACACCCTCAGACACGCGGTGGGATTGTTGGGGTGCCCTGTTGGACTCCAGGATCCCTCGTGGGTCCCTTCCAACTTGGGTTATTCCATGTATGCTTCTCTGATTCTCTATTTACCTCTTCCTTCTCTTCCAATTCCGATTCCTGCAGTAGAAAACTCGTCAGCCACACATTGATTTATAGAGTGGTCTCTGCTTCGTTTGGAAACAAGGCCATTAACGCTGTTAACTCGCTGCTTTCTCCCAAATCTCCGAGTGCCTCTGGCGTTCCCCGTGCCTGGGCTGGGGATTATTAGTCTGGATAGAGCATCTTAAGGCCTGGCTGACTCAAATGCAGGGCTCCATGAAGGCTGAGGGACTGGCCTGGGGCATCCAGGCTGGATAATTCCTCTCCCTCCTCGCTGCTGGAGCATCTGCGCGGGGAGCGGGAGAGGGGGCGGATGTTGGCTCAGCTGCCACCCCCCCAGGGCAGGAGGAGGGGGCTGGCAGGTGTGGGCAGGGGGGCATGCAGGGTGGGCTCTGCCTTCCCGAGTCCCCTGAGGGGGGAAAGGAAGCGGTGGGGGAGGATTTGGAGGGCTCCTCCTCGATCTGGCAGAGAGCTTCGCTGGCTGTTTGTTTGCAGCGTCCCTCGGAGGATGGGAGGCAGGATTGCTGTGCCTGTTTGCCCTGGGGAGGGCAGGGAGAACAATAAGCCCTCTCTGAGCCCTGGGGGGAGCTGGGCTGGCTGCTCAGGGGAGCATCCATAGGATGAGGTGCCAGGCTGTCGGGGTCAGATCCTTGTTATCCTTCTCTTCCTGCCACCCTTTTCCTGCTGCTGGGTGGAAGAATTACCTTGGGCTCACAAGTCCTGTAAGGTGCCTCCCTCTCCTTGCGTGCCATGCCCTCCCCACCCCTGGAAGTGTCCAAGACCACCTTGGAGCAGCCTGGTCTAGTGGAAGGTGTCCCTGCCCATGGCAGGGGGTGGAATGAGATGGGCTTTAAGATCCCTTCCCGCCCAGACCATTCCGTGTTTCCATGTGTGCTGAGGGCTGGGGCTGGCCCCCACCTCAGGACACATTTGTGCTGTCCATGACCTCCTCCTGCTGCTGTAAATACAGGGAGAAAATACAAGGAGACAGCCTTGGGCCTTTGGTGTCTCACTTTTGCCCAGGTGGCTCTGGGCAGCTCTGTGCCTGCTCAGCGGGGATGGGGAGGGAGGGCTTGGCTGCCCTGGGAAGAGGCATGAAAATAGAACTTTGAAGAGCCTGGGCTTTATTTAAATCTCATTCCCTTTGTGTGCTGGGGTGCTGGAATACCCTGCTGGCTTTGGCTGCTGCTCCCAGCCTGTTTCTCTCGTGCCACAAGCCAGCAGAAAGCTTGGATGCCACAGAACGAGTTCCCGGTGCTGGTTTTGTGGTGGGGCTGATCTCACTTACTGCAATGGGAAGGTGCAGCAGATCTGGCTTTTTTTTTTTTTTTTTTTTCTGGCTGCCCACAGGTGCATTTTGCAGCCCCTCCCCATGTTTGTGAGCACCACACATCCCACCCCCTCGTGCTCTCTTCCTTTTGTATCCACGCTTTTTCCATCCCCTTCTCTCCCTGACACGTGCGGGGAGCAGGGAAGGGTTTGCACCCCATGCCCAACACCTCTCATGGCATTAGGGCAGCCCCTCCCCAGGGATTCAGGCAGATCCCAAGCCTTCCTGGCTCCAGCCCTGAGTGTTGGTGGGGTTCCTGCCCCTCTGGCTGTGCCAGCTGATGGGTGGCTGGGGCGGTGCTGAGCGAGGAGGGATGGGGAGCGTCGGAGCGTGGCGGGGAGTCTGTCACACATCACAGAACGGAAAAAAAATCACTCCCTCTCTCTCTCTCTCACTCACTCTCCCTCTGCACAAGGTGAAATTTTTGTACCTGGCTGCTCATTTTGTGAGCAGCTGCTCACTTTTAATTACACGGTGCCTACTCCTCCTCTAAGGCCCCGCTGCGGCACAGCCTCCTGCTGGGGGGGTGGGTGTGGGGGTGATGCAGGGTGCTCTCCTTCCAGGATCCTGGGCCATCCATGCCTCCACAGGGAAGCCAGCCACCCCCCTGGGAGGGCCCAGCAGTGAAGTGACCGTGGTTCCATCACATTTTTGCCTTCCCCTTCCTTGTTTCCTGCTGGTGCTCACTCCTTAAGGTAGCGAGGCGACAGCTCGGGAGCCGGGAGTGGGGGCTGCTCATCCCTGTGCACTTATCCCTTATCCCAACCCGCCTTTCCCTACCTGGATTTGCCCCCCCTGCTCCAGCCAAACCAGCTCAGGCTGCTTTGGGGGTGGGAGCTTGCTCTGGGGAGAGGAGAGGTGCTAAACATAGCTCTTCCAAAGCGGAGGGGGAGATGAGGTGCAGCCCTTGTTAGAACACCGCTTTTGATCTCCCGGGAGCGTTTTCTTCTCCATTTGCAGCGAGGGTTGAGCTTTCTCCTGGGGATCGATTTGTGCACTTTCATGTTACGTGGTTTTAGGTGGGAGAGGAGGAGCAGATGGGAGAGCTGCTGAGGTGGACCTGTTTTCCCCTGGATTGGGCCCTTGCTAAGGTTGGATCCCGCGGTTTGCCTCGCCCTCTGCCTCACATCTCCCAGGACTGTCCTTCTGGGATGCAGCTGCCCTGTTTAATATTTTGTATGAAGCACAGAGGGAGAGAAAGGACATCAGGAGGCACAAAGCTGGCTGAGGCACCCAGGGGACAAGAAATCTCCCTGCACAGAGCAGCAGTGGACCTTGCAGGGCACTGGCAGCCCGGGAAAGGTTGGCCAAGGACAGTGTGGTGGCTTTGCCGAGTGCTGGTGTTGGACCTGCTGCAGCTGGGGAGGAGCTGTGCTTCCCCTCAGGCACCCAGGGGCTGCTGCAGCCCCCTTCCCTCTCCAGGATCTCTAATCTCCCCAGATTGTAAACACAGTTTTGCACAGCAGGCAGGTGGGAGCAGGTTGAAACCTCCCAGGTATTTTTTTTCCCCCCGTTGCCTCCGTGGGCTCTGCGTGGGCAGGTCCCTGCTCTTGGCTCGTGTTCCATGGTGGGTTTTGGGGGTCTGTGTGTGCTGGGGTGTGCAGGGAGGGCAGCAGGATGCTGCTGACCAGGCTGGCTGCTGGCTCACATCCCATGTGGAGTGTGTATCCAAACTGTTCCTCTGCCCAGTGGGGGCCGATGAATCCTTCAGTGCCTGGGAGCCGTGACAGTCTGCCCAGAGCTGCTCTCACAGGGGCTCCTGACAGATTAATGAGAGTCTTTTTGGATGATGTTTGATTTGCAAGAGTGAATTTGACGGTTTAGACCCCAGAACATGGGGATGCTTCCAACTCCTCCCTTCCCCTTCCCCATGCTCACTCCCATCTCCCTGCCTGCTGCACACGAATTGGCCTTTCAACTTTTTTTTTCCCTGCTACCCACCCCTCCTGGCTCCCAATTATAGCCTGTGTAGTCAGTTTATTGCTGACTTTCCTGCTCCTCCTTTGTGTGCTTTGGACTGCGTGGGGATGAGATGCAGCGATGACTCTCCCGCTCACGGGGTGTGTTTCAGATCTGATGGCTTTTGGCAACTGAGATTTTTTGGGGGTTTTTTTGGAG